TTTTTTTTTTTTTTTTTTTTTTTTTTTTGGTAACTGGGATCAAACTCAAGCCCTTGCACTTGTGAAGCTGGTGGTGGAACCACTGAGCCAAATCCCCCACCCATGGGCTAAGTAAGACAAATGGGCTGGATAGGGACCCAGAGGGCCTCTTTGATCTCTGATGGTGAGGTTGTCTCCCAGAAATCCAGCGCACAGCAGTCCTTGTGGCTTGCTGGGTCTGCAGGTCCAGAAATGGCAACTGCATGCTTCGGGCACATCTGCCTCCCACCATTTCTCACCAGACGCCCCAGGGTCATCTCGCTGCAGAGAGGCAAAGCCTGCACCTGCTGGGCAGGAAGCAGAGCTGGCCCCTGCGGAGGTGAGCACTGTGTCTGGGGTTTGGTGCGTTCTGAATCCAGGTCTCTGAGCAAGGTGATCTGGCAGGAGGTCTCCAAAGCCTTTAAAGGACACCTAAATAAATGTGCCCACAGTGCTATGTTTCATTAACAGGTACATCAAAACACAAACCTGATGTCTTCTTTGAACAATTTCCAACACTGAGTTATTTCTCTTGGAGCTGATACTGGCTGGATAATCGGACTTCCCCCAGGTAGATGTTTCACGTCCTTTTCATATGAGTGATGTGTGAAAAACTACTTTGAAGCATGCACTTTAAACTAGGAGAAAATCCAAGGGTTGGGAGTGATTTATGACTGAGGCCTTTTTTAAAATACTTCTTTGAAGCACACACATGAAGCTAGGAGAAAACTCAAGGATTTGTGCATGATTTTATGACTAAGGCCTTTTCTATAAGTGATACTCTCTTGACGCAGATGCAGAAACGATGAACCCTCCTTTGCTGCTACGTTCAATTGACTTTGGAAGGGAAAGTTAAAGTCCAGAACCATTCCATTTGCGTGTGTGTGTCCTGCAGTGTTTTGTACACCTGTGTAGGGAGTTTGAATTCCATGAATCAAGCCACGCAGTCATGATACCAATGCTGGTGTATAATGTAATGCTAGCAGCTGCCTGAACTAATCAAGACCGAGAGAGCTTGGGCAAGCCTGCGGGACGGAAGCTTCCTTCCAGGGAAGCCTCGTCCACAGCGCGTTGTCTGGCTCTGCTCCTCCCGTAGGGTCCTGTCGTTACATCTCCACCGTCAGTGCTCATTCGTGTCACTCGCTCAGCGAAGCTCAACTTGACCACCCCTAAAGATGAATTCTTACCCCATGCAGTGTCCCGTTTTCTGCCCTGTTCTCCCCCTAGCACTTAGCAGTTTCTAAGGCACTTCTAACATAACCTTACTATTTTTTCTTGTGAACATCGGAGGCATTGCCTTTTCTGTAACTCTTTGGGCAGACACCTGTTTTATTCTAAGCCTTTAATACGCTGCTAGATGTATATAGGTGCTCAGTGAAAAATTACAGAGTGAATGGCCACATGGATGGGAGTGTGTAGGGCGTGCTGTGTTGTGGTTCTCTTGGGGTAGTGCTGGGGACCTTGAAAAGGCTCGGCAAGGACTCTAGCTCAGGGCCACACGCGGGCTGGCCCAGTGTTTTGGTTATTGGTCGGTATGCATCTCTTGACTGAAAAGCTGGAGAACAGGCTTAGTGCACACTGGAGGGACAGAGCTTTGAGAGCTCATGGACTGCAGGCTCAACTGACTGCATTGCAGCTGCTGCAATAGAGGAAGCACCAGTCCCAACAGGGAACTGGTGCCTGGGAGGAGGCCCAGGAGTCTCCGTTACCTGCCCCTCTTGCCATGTGATCTGCTCTGTTGTCAAAGTGGATTTCATCTTCTGCTCTCAGTCCCTCTGCTTCCTCCTTCCTCTCTCCCCCTCCTCCCCTGCCCTTCTTTTTCTCTTTTTTTCAGTACTAGAATTGAACCCAGAGCCTCCTTAATGCTAGGAAAGTGCTCTTAAAAAAAGACAAACATTATTTAATTTTTAAACCTTGCTCTCTAGGGAATGGTGACATTTTGGGACAAACTGAATGAGACAACCCTTTGTGTTAACAGAGGTTTCTTGTGATCATATCACGTGAAAAGGATGTGACAGGGGGCAGCAAACATCAGGGAGAATCCCAGGGGTCCTGTGGAAGGTCAGCCTCTTCACGGAACAGAGATGGTCCCTGGGGTCAGACCACTGACAATATGAAGGCCTCCCTGTCAAAGGAAGTTTCTAAGTAATCTCCTTCCGCAGGAGGACGGAGCAGCGGGGAGCCAAACATTATTAGCGTAAGGACTTTTAAAAGCAAAGACTGATGAGTTTAAGAAATGCTTAGCCTTTGGACAGTTGAGTGGAAGCGTGGATGTATTCTGAAGTACAGTTTCTAGCTCTTCCTCTCCAGCCAGCAGAAGAGGCACACGGGGAGGGAGAGGGACGTGGAGGGGAGGAGGAAGACAGCGTGGGAGGAGGAGGTGTCTGGCGGTGGTTTGATGATCTGATCGTCTTGTTTGTGCCAATACCCATTTCTTGTCCGCCCCCACGCGGATGAGAACTTGGCTGTTGTGTGTGCACCTGAACCCCTCCTCGTGCTCCCCAACTGCCAGTGGCTGGCTAAAGTCCATTACTGCTGCTGCTAGCCTCGAGCCTGGTCATTCAAAGAGGAAGCAGTACTTGAAAAGTGGCCTGATTATTTCTTTTGGGCTTTCTTGTGTTTTCTTCATTGAACACATAGTGCTTTATAATCGAAAGGAACAGAATAACTAGAAAAAAGAATGATTACGTTGTGAGGCTGTGTGAAAGCTTCATGAATGGAAGGAAAGTATAAGGGTGAGAGGACGCTCAGCCAGGTGCAAGCTACTGCTGGAATATTGACCCAAGGAGGAGTGGACACAGGTGAAAGAGCAGCCACTTCAGTTCCATGCTAAGAAAAACAGCCCCCTCCCCACAAAGGGTCTTGAACTGTCACAACCAGAGGATTTCTCACAGGTGCTGTGTGTTGTACATTATCCGAAAGGCTAATTGTTCCCCCGTATTTCCTGCTGTGATCATAAAGGAAGGATCACAGAACAGTGGACAACACTGGCCTGCTGGAAGAGAGGGAGTTTTGGGTCAGAGAAATACTCGAGGGTCCTTGTAGTAGTCAGATCTCCATCACTGTGATGAAATGCATGCGGACATCAATTTTAAAAGGAGAAAAGACTTACTTTGGCTTATGATTTCAAAGGCTGCAGTCCATTGTGGCTTGGCCCTGTAGCCCTGGGCCTGTGATGGGGCAGAAAATCATGAAGGAGAGGACATGGCAGAGGGAACTGTTCACCCCCAGCATTTGGGAACCAGACAGAGAGAAGGGCTATTGCAGGGTCTCCCTGGAGGGCATGAGCCCAAGAACCTAACTTCCTTTTTCCAGCCCCTTCATTCACAGGCTGAGGACCAGGCGTTCAACATACAGACTTTGAGGGACATTGAAGACCCAAACTGTCCTAGCCCTGTATTTATGCAGCACTTTCCTCCTGTGTGCCCCTGGTCTGTTTTCTCTTTTTATTTATTTATTTATTTATTTATTTATTTTTTTTTTTTTTTGTTTTTTGTTTTTTGTACCGGGGATCGAACTCAGGTCCTTGCATTTGCAAGGCAGGCAGCAGAACCACTGAGCTAAATCCCCGGCCCTGGTCTGGTATTTTTTCATAATGTATTATAGGTGATACCAGAAACTGCCAGACCTGGCTGTTGGTTTTAAATTTTTTGAGACGCTGTCATTATTGACAGTGTACTCCTAACCAGACCTTGGTGCTGAGGTGGGTCCGATCCATCTCCGGACAAATTGGGTCCAGTGATGCTCAGACTCTCCTCATGTTCATAAGCACGTCATGTGTGTAGCTAAGACCTGTTACACCAGCATCCTGTGGTCTGCCAACCATGAGTCCGAGGCCAGGTGTGGCCCCTGCTTTTGTCACAGCCTTGTGCTAAAATCAGCTTTGGTATTTTTAAATGATTGAATAAAATCCAAACTAGGACAGTATTTTGTGACACATTAATGTTATGAGATTCAGATTACCTCAGTATCTATAAATAAAGTATTACTGGGACACAGCTACATCCATTCGTTTGGTTTGTGACTACTTTGGCACTAAATTGACAGAGTTCAGTGGTTGGCAGAGACCGTATCACCTTCACAGTTGACAGTATTGATTGTCTAGATCTTTACAGTTTGCCAACAAGTTCATCTTTAGGTTAAGCATGTTGTACTTTTGTCCTGTGTTGTTTTGTTTTTATTTCTGAGACCTAAGATGTATGAACTGAATTCCTTTTATATTAAGAACAATTCTTACTTTGATTGTACTTTTTATTCTCCTTCCTCCATAAAAATCTGAAAGTGCTAGACAGTGAACGAATGGATGAGCTGTTAAGAGCATACAACTAGGTGTCCATAAGAGAGCCCCCTGGTGCTTTAAGAGGACAAATCTCATTCCTCCTCTTCTATCCTCTGTCTCTTTTCTTCCAAAATTTTATTATGAAAATTTTTTAGATATGCTGAAAAGTTGTTAAACTGAACTGCAAACGGCCTACCACCTGAATTCTATAATTAGTAACATTTTACTATCATTATTTTCTTGTTATTCCATCCATCCATGCCTCTTAATCTTGATGCATTTCAAAATAAGATGCAAACAAAAAATAAAATACTTAGGAACTCTAACAAAGGAAATTTAAAGAGCTATACATTGAAAATTACAGTATTCTGAAAAAGGAGATCAAAGCGTGTATCAGAAAATGCAAAGATGTCCCTTGTTCTTGGTAAAAAGAACCAACTTAATGAAAATGGCCATACTCCCAAAACTGTTATATAGATTTAATGCAATCCCACTCAAAATACCATTAGCATACTTCACAGAACTAAAAAAAAAATCCTAAAATTCCTTTGGAAGCAGAATAAAACTAGAATAGCAAAAACAATTCTGGGCAATAAAGACAAGACAGGATACCCAATACTTGACTAGAAATTATACTACAGAGCTACTATGATAAAAATAGCATGGTACTGGCAGCAAAAAAACAAACAGGCCAAGAATCAATAGAACAGACTGGAAGAGGTGGAAACCACCAAACACACTTAGCCATCCTATCTTTGACAAAGGGACTAAATACATTCACTGGAGAAAAGATAGCTTTTTTCATAAGTGGTCCTGAAAAATGGCTATCTCCATGCCAAAGACTAAAACTAGTCCCATGTCTCTCGCCATGCACTAAACTAAAATCAAAATGGATCAAAGATCTAAATATTAAAACAGAAACACTAAATCTGCTAGAAGAGAGAACAGGTAGGACTCTTGAAGGCAAAGAGGTGGACAAAGACTTCATGAGCAAAACCCAGGGTGTACTGGGTATAGTGCAAAGAATCAACAACTGGGATCTCATCCTATTAAACAGTATATGCACTGCAAAATAAATCGCCCACAGAGTGGGAAAAAATGTTAGCCAGTAGTCCCTCAGATAAAGGACTAATATCTAAAACATACAAGAATTGAAAAAAATCGACCCTCCAATTTAAAGACCCAATCCAAAAATGGGCATCTGAAATGGACACACACTTCTCAGATGAAGTACAAAAAATGGATCAAATCTAAATATTAAAACAGAAACACTAAATCTGCTAGAAGAGAGA